CATCACTGAAGCTGAACGACATCTGGGTATCGCTGCACCCTCACTTCAGAAAGGTCCCCGCGCTTACGACCCCCCCCTCCCTCGAGGTCAAATACGACCCCCTGTTGTGATGATCACAACGATAGCGTGCCCTGACTGACACGCCCAATCATCCGCAGCGAACAAGACTGTACGCTGCAGAGTCAAAAATCTTTTCAGGTTTTCTCCAGAGTGTACAAACTAGGAATAGATCAAATCCCGTTCTTTTGGAGAATGGCAAAGCTAATGTGTGGTCTTTATAGCTGAGGCGCTACCAAGAAGAAATTTTTGGAAATTTAACCGAATGGGCGCAGCCTAGAACTGTAGCAGCTCCCGGGTAGTTGTGTTCGGCGTCGCCCTCAGGGCGTTGAGTAAATGAACCTTCCGAAATTTCCCAAGAATCTCCCGTCTAAAATGCGAGTTAGTACGAAAATCCCAAAGAGCCCAGCTAGTTAAACAGGACTCACGAATCGAGTCAGTGTCCTCTGAAAGTTTGTGAATTGTAGAAGCTTCAGCTGCTATCCAGTTTTTGTATCAACTCACTTATGAATCAACTATCAACTCGCACAGCCAGACCCATCGTCTCTCGAATTTTTTTTCTATAGGACCTACTTCACAACGTATTCCAAACTTTCAAAATTTTGCCGTCGAGCGGAAGGTGGTGCTGAGGCTCTCTCCAAACAACTATGGTAACCTAAGAAGTAGTGATTGTTTAGAAGATCACGACGACGAGTAAAGTTATTAAAAAAGGCAACCAACACCAACATAAAAAGGCAATTTCGGTACCGAGGGACGTGAAACCAGGAAAGTCAACAACCACAAACATTTTTCTCGAAAACAGATACAACACCTTGCTCCCTGCACAAACATTCTTCTCGAAAACAGATACGACACCTTGCTCCCTGCACCGACCAAATACGACCCCTCCCACTTCGCTAGGGATATCACACGGGCGACGTGCTCACCACTCGGCTCCCAGCAGCCAAATTATGACCCTTCCGTTGTGTTCTTCACAACAGTGTATTGATAAATAAGCCTGCTCTCCTCCCACACACATACGTTTCTGCCCTTACTTCGTGCAGACCCTGACAATCAGGAATGGCCCTTGCCGCAGGTAGCTACGCCATATGTTACCCTCACATATGAACTGTACATCTATCGATCAAATGATACCCTCTTATCAGCTGGCAGCTAACGGTCGAATGGAAGTCTAGCCAATGGGTGGAAAACAATAGTTCCAGATGTGATATCGGAAGGATTATTGGCCATTTAGTAGCAAAAATTTATTACGATTCTCAACTATACCAAGAATAGTAAATGATAACTTCATCTGGTTTCACAACATCGAACGGATCGTTGCATAATCATGCTTTGCCATGAATTTCATTAACAAAGGTGCCATGTAAGTGTACTAGTGCTCCGCTGTACTCTTATGGTTGACAGTAAAGCTTTCAAAATTCGAAACGTTGGCTGAATAAGGTTTCCAACTAACCACATGGCAGAAGCATAGCAACACAACATAACAACATGTGCCGAGAATTCAGTACGAGAGAACTTAGAGCCCGTTGTCAAAAGAGTTATCAAAGAATATCTGCTATCGTTCCAATATCAATCAGTCGACTTCCACTTCCACATCTGTAGATCCTAATTGGAGATCGCAGTTCTGCTCGGGGATACTCCATAGACGAGTGCGCAGAGGATCCAATAGAATCTACAACACAACTCAATTAAATTATATTTTTCAAAAAAAAAACGTTGTTCGCACATTTAAATGTGAGGTTGGCGATTCATAAGTAAGGTTCTCTGGTTCAAGCCTTAGTATGGTACCACCTCCGCTCCTTGGAAGCTGCTGTGTTGTGATAGCTGATGTTCTTTTTTAATCCTGTCCGCTATCCGCGAACAACGCAAGGTGATGGCATATGACAGTGCGCGGTGTGATGTGTGCATGAGGCTTGATTTGAGGGCAGAGCTGTGTGAGCTATTCAGCAATCACAACTCTCCAGTTCCATTGCTGCGGACTCAGGGCACAGCGTTCGATGGGGATTCTCCTATGGGGGGGGGGGGGTCGTATGAGGCCGCCAAAAGGGGGGTCGTATTTGGGCTGGGAAAAATTTATTTTTATAGTTGATTTTTCTCGCTTTGCGGACGTTTTGGAGGGGGGGGGTCGTATTTGGTCGTTGTTGGGGGGGGGGTCGTATTTGCTCATTGTTGGGAGGGGGGGGGTCGTATTTCTGTCTAGGAGTTACGTGGTTCACTTCATGAGTTTTATGAATTTTCTGTGTTATAGGTACTATGTACGCCCGTACGATGTACGTCGCATGCTTACTACATACTCTTTCGCCGAGTATAAACCACAACCACAGTCAGCCAATCCAGTGTCATTCATGAAAAAGCCGTCGAGCGAGAGGAGGAGGGGGGGTCGTACCAGCCCCTGAAAAAAAAAGGGGGGGGGGGTGTCGTACCAAGCCCGTGAAAAAAACAAGGGGGGTGGGTGGTAAAAAGACTCGCCCAACGATCCTCAGTGAAATGCTGTGCCCTGTGCGGACTTCAAAGGCCCGTAAGAGATATCATTCTTTAGTTACGGTCCTGAACATCTCACCCATGGATCATCAACCTCACAAATGACAACAACGTTTCAAAGTAGTACCTGCGCTGCGTTATCAACCGTATAGGGTGTATCAGGAAGAAAGTCGCACAAGTGGCGCATCTGAATGTTTGTTAGCCACCCACGAATGATAGCCTTGTCTTCGTCAGTAATAGTTTGAGACACTTCTTCCTCAACATCGTCAACGATTCGCAGAGCAACTGCGCATTCTGAAATTGGTTGAAAACTGACAAAACGAGTAATCCTTTTACGAGAGATCTTTAACATAATTCAGAATGTTTCTTCAGCCTCCCGAGATTTGTACAGATAGTTTATTGGACTAACGTTTCGGCGAACATCGCCTTCTTCGGAGCCTGCAAGTCGAAACCTATCATCGAAACAATTCACTCAAGCACCATTTCTAATTACAGTAAGAAACTACGGGCTAGGATATCTTAGAACTAAGTCGAAAGCCACCAACCTTTTGACGGGTAGAACTTCTACCGGGCACTCTGAGTTTCGAGACTACAAGACGGTAGCTTTTATACGATTTTTATATGACTTGATGTCTTATATGACTATCTGTACAAATCTCGGGAGGCAGAAGAAACATTCTGAATCGTCTCTGATGCCGAGATTAATTGAAAGCCGCTCCTGTGATTTTTAATATAATCATTTCGGAGTTCATGAACGCAATCTCATTCTCTAAGCATTTCTCATCTCCAGAAGATTTTCACGGTTTCTAGGCAAATAAACTGAGTGACGAACGTTTGCAATACGAGCACTGAACAGATAACGTATCCGCTGCCCATATAAGCTACCTTCACGGTATCTTTCTCCATTTTATTGAACTTTAGGCTGTCATAGCACAGCAATACGAAACTCCACCCACGCAGCCGATCTCCACTCACTGCAGCCGGAACTTTTTTTTACTTCAGAACCGCGTGACCACCTTCTGGGTGTTTCAGAACCGTACCATGAATTTTCGAATCCTACCACCGGTCGCGCGCCTCATCCAGGGCAAAGGGAACGCTGTAATATCCCACCCCTGAGGCGCTGGTTACCTCTATGCAGTGTATGCTTAATTCACGCTCAGTTCATCCGCTCTTCCTGCATCTTGAACGGAACCCATCCCCTCTCCTGGCTTCACCAGATGATTCTTCAAGTAATGCTGGATTTTGTGAGGAGAGATAGGCTGAGCGTCATCTACAGTAGAAGCATTTGTTACCTTAGGCAGCATACAGATTTTGCGACGATCTGCTACCATTAGCAAGTTTAGCCGCTCCAATGGTACTGCCGAACGCAGGTCAAGACGCTCTTCGAATTGCGATGACAGCCGCCGGTGTTTCGGGAGGTACAGAAATAAGGAGGCTACCAAAAACATGTGTGATTAGCAACGGCCTACTTCTTTATTGTACATACCTCTCAATCACAGAGGCCTGGCGCCAGTGGATAGTGTCTTTGGCTGCGCTAGTCTAGCATTCGAGCAATATCGCAATGGTAGCGCTTCGACGCGCGTCATCGCGAATTCAGAACACTGGTGCAAGAGCTTAGCATAAATACTTTGAGAAAACAAGCAGTTTCAGCTTGTGTCCAGCATGGCATTTCCCTGAGAAACACCGTAAACTGGAGTAACAAATAGGCACTACACAGAAACGTCCATTCATCTTACATGAGGCTAATTACACTTGTTGATATCAGATCATACTTGAAATTTCAACGGATACTGGAGATAATCAGCTGAACGTCACATACCAAGAGCGTTTAGAGCCGGCAACGGACGTACATGTCGAACTACTCCGGCAAAGAAAGAGCCAAGACGCTGCCAGCTGATGGACTGCTCCTTGCCGTAACTGCGGCCATGACGATATTCAGTCACCTAAATGATAAGCAACATTATGTACATGATCTACATTATTAATCTGCTCGAAAGAACTGAGCGTCAAATTCGCAGAGCATACTGATTATTCATGTGATGAATAGTCCGGGATTTCAATAATCCCCCTTGAATGCACCATTCAAGAAATAACTGTGCTAAGGGATTCAAGGGGGATTCTGAATTTCCAACTTGTCCAGTTTATCTTTTGTCTAATTTTTTCCTAAATCTCTAAATTACAAACAGTAGTCTGCTGGCAAGTCACGGTAAGAACCAAGACAATGTGAGAGGAGCCTCAACGGCTCTCTCGTTCCCATATCCCTACGACACCGTAGGGCCGGAAGGACACATTGAAACAACTTACCATTCAAAAATGCAGCCAGACAGAAAAAATGAAGAAAAAAATGGTCCAGCTAAGCCAGAAACAGCTGATTGCCGCGACATCATCAATGGGAAAATGACAGTCATATGCGGCGCGTGCTGGGAGCGTATGCAAATAGAAAATAACAAGTAGATGCCTCGTGCCGCCAGCAGTTCCCAGATGACGCGGTCGCTGCTGCACTCGCGTGAGCGCTCTTTCAGCCGTCCAATCATCTACCCGGATCACGACAGTAAAAGGCGTCATGTGCGAGGCAAACCAACTAGGATGAACAGGCCACTTTACGCACGTTGCTGCAATATAGATCTCACAACCGACACTCTGCTCCCTCATCCTCTTCCTTAGATAGCACAGGATGTAAACATAGATCATTGCTATGAAAAAGCTAACCAACTTGAAGTTTCTTTTTAGTTAGACAAGATATCTCGCTGCTGAGCTAACGGCGAGCTCAGCGATTCTGGCAATATGACAGTGTTTCTGTATCTTCAATAGGTGAGGCAGAACATAGTGAACATTCTCCAGCTTCTCTCTTCTTGCAGAGTATTCGTAAGTCTAAACTGTCTTGTGCCTTACGAGACTGGTTTGCAACTGACAACGCTCTCGTGGGATCGAGGACTTTTTTCTGCGAAGAACGGTGAAACAGTTGGTTTCTGAAGACGACCAACCAGTCGAAACGTTATGCCAAAATTAATAAATGTCCGCCAAACAAATTCGTAAAACAGAAATCTGAACGCTGCGCATAATGTCCAGAGTTCAAGTTTCGGATCAGCTTGCCAATGTCAATTAAACCTATACCATTAGGGGTCATTCAGTTGCTACCAGACTTGTTCAAAAAATGTAAACACAGAAAACGAACGCATTTTTTTGTTCAAAGTAATGTGAAGGAAGGTATATCATGAGAAGCTCACATAATTACGGTACCCACCTTATAAACCCTAGGTGTTTCTGAGTCGTTCGGTGTGTCCAGCAAGGCATTCTGGAATACTGACAATGTATTGAAATGGACAATACAAGCAACAGAAATAAAAAGACCACAAAACAAAATTTCATGATGGACTGGAGTAAAGAGAGCGCTTCACGCTAAAATTTGTTGTTACACTGGGGTCTCTCATAACAAGGACGAGGCAGACGTGAGGAGAGAGCAGAACAGGATAAGCTCAAAGTTTTCTTACGAAGTCGTGTATACCAATTAGTTTGGAAAGACGCGTTCTGTACGTATTGTGCACAGGGTGAAAGGATCAGTGTATTCGTGTTTTGTTGCACGAAATGACGGTGACAGTGCAGCCTGCTAAGAAGGAGGACCTCGATACAACCCACTTCACATCCTACAGTTAGGCCTGGTAACAAATCAGCATTAGGCCCAAAATTTAGCTGTCATGCGGAGGGATATATAATAGTGCGTCTAAGTTACTCCTGGAAGCACTGAAAGCGGTGTCATACAAAGGCTACTGATTCATGTGTCAGAGCTTCTTGATGCTGACTGCAGAGCAATGAGATTTCCGGAGAGCCATCAGTTCTGCTGGTTCGATTTTAATTAAAATAATTCTGCTTCTCGAAAAATAAAATAGCATTTACCTCGATAGCTGTACGCATAGGATGATCATTCTGAGACCTTAACTGACGGTTCACACGCTGTATGCCGGCTTCCCAATTGTCAATTTCCTTAAATAATAATCAGATGCCTGATTATATGACAGTTCAATGAGTATATTGAAAAATTAGAGAAAATAAAAAATGAGCTGCTTGATCTACCTCACAATGAGGGATGTGGCCGAGCAAAGACATATGGAGCCGCCTAACTCCCCGCACAGGAACACTTTCAAATCAACGACCGTACGCCTCCGAGGCCAATCAAACCTTCACTGTCACTTGAATTGGTATCAAACTGGTCTGGGTGGATAGGAACAGATGAATCTTTATCGGCTGGCCTTTGAAAGCCTCTGTAGAAATAGGAGCAGAAATCTTTATTGGCAGAACCTTGAAAGCTTTTGCATAGGCAACTCAAGCGCCACAACCATTCTGAACGTCCTCTGCTACAAAAGGTGGAGTGTGAACACTAGTCCCTGCCAGGTGCGAGCTGAATGTGGCCGCAACTGCAGTAGCGTGCCACCTCTCCTCTCAAAACCGCATGGGCCCGGGTCTGGATGGCAGTGACACCCGGGTGTCATCCCATACTCCGTCAGCACTGCCCCATGAGCCAACCATGAGTCTTCTCGCTTCTGATTGTCTTCTCTACCTCTGACTGTGAGACTGTGATTGCGAGATTTTGGGACCGACGCAGGTGTTGCAGCTTGAGGATAGCATGGGCGAAGCCTGGAACGGGACCAGGGTTCCATACCATAGCGCTCTCAAAGGGCGAAGGTGAAACACACAGCTGCGAACCGTTCCTCGCACATGGACACATGGCGACGTGTAAATTTTGTATCTGAGTCAGCTCTGGTCAGATTTGTTTAAGGTGTAAAAGAATCGATGTTGAGCTCAGCCTCAACATCTGCACATTGATCAGGCATTTTGATCACAGTAGGCGAAGCCAAAAAATCGAGTAGACGAGCAGGAGGAGCCGGAATCAATGACGACGACTAGCCTGCAGAACAGGTCGTCGGACACATGCTACACTAAATGCCTTTGCCCTGCCTACCTTCGCCACGCCTCGAGTCCAGGTGCCTTTTCGCTGCCTTCCGCTTCACCACAGTATTCTGCTCGTTATCCATTCGGAGAAACATGCTGTTCAGCCCTGTGATAACACCTGCAGTTGACTGGATTCAGCTCCCACTTATAATCGTAGCAATCTGTCTAGATACTCGGTTTAAACAAATGTAGCAGATCACCTTTTCGTTTTCGTACTTGTCGTTGCTGAAGTCCTATGATAGTTACATAGCACCTTACCATCAAACAGGCTTGGATCTCGAACGGCCACAATCCTAAAAGCTCCCCTAAACCCTATAGGTTTCTTACTATTGCCCCTTCCTTTGCCGTGACCAGCGAGAATTTCCGCTGGAATTCTCCTATGTTCGTTGTCCGTTACCAAATTTGTTCGTCGTCCGATACCATGCCGGAAATGATTGGTTGTTTGCAAAGGCGTAAGGGCACGGATAATTCAGCTACTCAATACAAAATGGTGGCAGGAATTGCTTTAGTTCCAGATTAGAGGAAAAGGCGAAGTAAAACGTTCAATAAGCCTTTGTTTTACACGCATAAAAAGCATTTTGGACGATCTCTGTGACATCGGGCCAATAATACCGCTGCGGTAGACTAACGGCTTCATGGCGTATACCAATATTCATTACAGCACCCATACTACAGCTGCTTAATGGTTAATATCGGCCTCTTCGCTTTTCGTAACTGAAGCGATACGAGCACCAGCACAGCACCCAGTCAGACATTTGTGGGCAGGTGGGCGCGGTGGGTGTCCGGGTCGGTGTGGTTGCAGCTTGATAGGGCGTTATAAGGCGAAGCACGCAGCGGGTACTCAGCGGAGCCAAAATCTCCCTTGCTAGGCGTATTTATCCTTCACGCCCTGGAGATTTATCTTGCCACTTGCATTTGAGGAACTAACCAGGAGGAGCCGTGTAAGTTATTCACGAACGTTCAGAGCCAGTCCACTCACCGGTTTCACGACATATTTAGGAGCACATCGAACATCTCGATATCCTATTTCTAGCCAGTGATCACCTTCAGCTCTCATACGATCTTCTCTATGTTCAATATTGATAGTTCGTATCTCGTTCACCTTCTCACTAAAATCACTTCGTCACGGAACATTTCATAGGTTTATCAAAGAGTACTGAGAAATGTACTCACAGAACTTGCTCGAAGGAACGTGTTATGCAGTAATTCTTTTGAATCACTTCCAGTGCTTCATCTGTGGTACCATACCTAAATATACACAAAATAGTTGTCCAAAATAACTATAAAACTGCTGAAAATAAACCAGCACTTTCAAAACACTGCACGACCATTTGCAGCCAGATGTTTATTTATTTCCATACACTCGAGGTGTGCCATAAAAAACTATTAAAAAAACACCGTGAAAGGACCATGGCGGAAGCTACAGATGGGCTCGACGCATTCAATCACAATGAACCAATAGTAGGAAGGCAATTCGGGATGATACCGTTAATGTTTCTGACTTTTCAAAACAAAAGGTTGCAAGTTCGCCGATATTACGCACATAATTATGTGTGTAGTAAAAATTAGAGACTGATGAAATGAATGTGCCTCATTCTGTGATCATTCCAAACGCCTTCGTTTATCCTATTATAGTAATGCAGAGTGATAGGAAGCACTTTGTCTCAACCAGAATTCAAACCTGGATCAGTGGTTAGCACACAACAACGGTTAGCACACATAAAGCACGAGTACTGCTGCGATGGATGTTGTTCATTCGTGAGCACTTCGGAAAGGGCATTGCAGATGGTTTCGTCTGCATCAAGACCCATTTGTTTAAAAGTGACAGCTCCGTCGTGCCAAGTCAACTAGCTAAGAAATACTCTGCTAGTTTGCCGCCCCTTAGATATATGTACATACATCGGCAATTTGTTGCCAACCATCAAGCAACGAGTTGTTGCCTTACTTCCAAGAGTTTTTTGGTTTAGAGCCGGAAACGCAGGCTATTTTGGGCTATTTTTAAAGATCCAATTGAAATTGATCCAATTTGAAAATCCTTTTTTTACCCGGAAGATTGGCCGCCGTCGGATCATCTTAGCTGGCAATCAGAAACAGCTAAGTCAGGGCTACACGGTGAAATTCCCCAACTAAGCTCCCAACGTCAATACTTTTTTGAGGGAGTGAGGACCTCTGTCATTTGTGCTTTTGGAACAGTCAAGTGTAAGGACTAGATAGCGAGTTGATTCGTAGGAATGGTTTTAATCAAGGAACGCAGTAGGTCCGAATCCAAGGCAACTGGCCTCCCTGGACGAGGTTTGTCCGAGGTAGAAGCCACTTAGGCGATCGGTCCATTTCAACGCCGTACTATGGAAGGTAGCATCAGGACCTAACCAAGAGCGAAGGCCGCGTGTGGCTCCAACCTTTTCGTGACTCGATGAACATTCATACAGCGCTAAAATGATGACTCTCATCTACCGTATGTCACGAACTTTTGGGACAACCCAATATATTCTCACTGGTAAAGCGCTTTGCCCATGACTCAACATTCTTTTGATAGCTTTCAGATCAATAGCTATAAAGAGCTGTAAACGTAATGAAAACAAGCTCGCAGTAGACGGCAACTCACATGGTTATTCCGTCATAAAGTGCTTTGAGCTCTTCACTCGTCCAATCGCCCCCATTAAAACTGCGGTTCTCACGGATCCTCTGAAAAAAAAGTCCTACGTTGATGCTCGCGTATGATGTGTGCTCTACGTTTGATCATATTACAAGAAGTGCAAGGAAAAGAGACCAAGACTAAGACGACAAATTGCATGAGACAGCAAAATGAACGTCCGATCAGAAACTGAATATTCACACCAAAAATGACGGCATGTTTGTAATCAGGACCTTCGAAGACCTTGGAAACGTAAATTCGCAACGAGTTCGGTGTGAGAATTGGAGGTCAGTTTGTTCTGTTCAGGAAGATAAATAATCTCTGTGAACAAGTTCGTAACAATTTGGTGACAAAATTGGTGGAGCGTTCGAATGGGTATCCAAAGGTACTCAAAAAATCATTCAGGAGTGATAATAGTAGAAACAGCGTAAAGTTTCAAATTCTACTTGTAAATAAAGAAAAATGACGCACCCTCTCAAGTGGGCTTAGCTCAAAGATTTCACGAGCTGCTTGACCAGCGCGTACATTGCTTGCGATCTCAGCAACTGCACTGAATACCTCGTTTGATGGTTCTATCTGTAGAGAAGAAAACTCGCTCTTTTTGTGCGCTGTATCAGCATAGAAACAAAGAAATAATCAAAATTATAATGAAACCAAACAGTACAGCTACCATTTCTGGAGGATCTTCTTCGTAGCCACCTACTCCATCGGCAGCAGGTACAAGTTGAGAAGTCGAGGCACCGGCATCGACTCCTGCAAAATAAGTAGTTCGGGAAGCCTGAACCTTCTTGTACGTAGTTGATCACGGATCCGATCTGCCCTAGAAAATGAGGAATTCAAGGTCAATGGGTCATTGTGAGCCTATTCTTTCCGAAAGTGAATCGAGTAATCTGGGAACGGTTCTTTTGTAGACACAGTTCCCGACAAGGCTAAATTGCTCGTCGCTTCTACAAATCAGCAAGGAAAGGTGGTTCAGCAGAGTGCGCAAAGCAACCAGTAAGAGAAGAAAAAAAACGGTACGGTTCCAAA